ACTACCCCTATTTGCCATTTTCAATATCCAGTCTAGTTTTATTGTGTATGTTTTAGGGCTTGAACATATTTGAATTTATATTCAATCCTATTAAATGATTGACTTTGTGTTGGTTTTGAATCTAATGCGTTCTGTGATTGTTTGTTATATGTAGTTCTAGCTTGATTTTTATTTTGATTTTGTTTCTATTTTGCAAGATTTCACAATCTTGAGTATTTGTATTTAATGTTTATGTTCAGAAGTTAACCTGCTAAAGTAATGTCTGGATATGGATTCAAGTAAGACTTTCAGATTTCATCCGCATTATTTTTTCAGCTAAAAGTTTTGTTTTTTATGCTCTATGTTTTGCTATTGGTTAACATAACTCTTGTTCTTAATTCTAAAAATGACCTCGCAATTGATGAATATGCATCATTTTTTTTTGATAAAATTGACTCATTGGCACAATACAATAAGTGGGCAGACAAATAGACCCATGCATGACATAGTCACTTTTTTGAGACAATGTCCTTCAAAGAGAGTCTCGATTTTCCATATTGTTAGTGATAGAATTATTTTGGGTTCCTACGTCACTAATATACAATGATGTTTATAGAGAACATACCAAAGCTGTCAGATTCATTTCACTTGTAGTATCTCTTGGCCTTTTCATATTATACACTATCAAAGTATCAAGATATGGTATAATCATTTTCAGCACTTCAACTCACTACACTCTAGGCATTTTGATTAATAGGTAGTGATTTTCTATGTTTTGTTAGGATCCCTAAGCAAATTGGATTTTATATATGTGGAAATGGTTTACTGACTAGATATTTACTTCATATGATTTCATCTTTTTAAAATAAATGTGCTTGCATATTACATTATAACATGTACAATATTTGTTTAAAACTTTACAGGGTATGGTGTATATATTGTGCTAGACAAAGAGAATATGCTCTCAAATGACTCTTGTAAAAATACTAGGTACATCTTTCAAAAGTTTTTTTATGGATAATTAAGGTTTTTATTTTCAAAATTGGAATAAAGCTTCTTTGAGTAGTCACATTATCTCTGTTTTTGTAGTTTTGTCTTGCATCACGGGGAGCTAGATCAAACATTACCTAGTGATCAATTTTGGTTGCTAAAAAACTATTTTACTTCATATCGAGGTTGCTGCCTAAATCTTGATACAGTACCCTATACTACTTATGTTTTTCCTCACCCTTTTTTTCCTTTCCAATATTTAAATACTGTATTAGTTGTACCTAGATTGTACCTTTATTTTCATTATTTTAATTATTTACTTTTGCATCTGCAATGGTCAGTTTAGTACGTATCTGATTGGGTTAAAAAATCAAACTCGCAGCTAAATTGCTAGATTAATTAGAAGATAAGCTCAGAAATAGGAAGAATGATAGACTGATATTCTGAGGATGCCAACTGTGATAGTTGCATGCTGCTATAATATATGGAGGAAAAAGAGTCTAAAGATTCATGACACAAGGGAGATTGTTGCAGGTATCCAATATGATTATACTTCAGACAAGAGTCTTTATTTAATCTAAACGCAGAGTTAGCCTTTTCTGATGTAGTTTGTTTGACATTTAGTTTTGATGGTTGTAGTTTATTTTTGCAAGTTTTATTTTGTATACTGATGAATTGGCTTACTTATTGGTGGTTTTATTTTAATAAAATGCTCGTGTGCTTTTTTAAAAAAATAGTTGGAATTGTAATTAGTACTTTATTAAAATTCTTTAATTTAAAGATCAATAATTAAAATATAATTGTTATCTTGTTATAAATAATGAATTTTATATTAATATTATAAAACAATTAGTACAACATTTGCAACACTAACAAGTGTTGGTTACATAAGAACACATATAAGTGTGGCAAATCAAAACATTAGCCACACATGCTAAGTGTCATAAATATATTTATTAGCTGCACTTATTTAAAAGTGCGGCAAAATATTCCCCACATTTACGTAGCCGTACTTAGGTCATGTGTGGCAAGTCAACTTTTCCACATTTATAAGTGTGGCAAACAACATTTTTAAGTGCGCTGAAAAGCCATCTTTCTTGTAGTGAAGGTACCCCCTACTGTCAGGTCGGGACCCCCCTACCGTAAAGAGTAACGTGAGTCAATATGAGAAGGTACCTCCTACCGTAACCCACATGTAGGCACCGACTGTAAAAATGAAGATTAACTTCTTCTGCACTATGGCGGTAACTCCTACCGTGACCACACACACAGGTACCGACCGTTAAGGTAGAGAAACAGCCTAAACACTATTGTAACAGTACCCTATACCGTTTGAACGGTACCCCCTACTGTTACCAGGGGCGGACCCACGTTGAGTCATATGGGGTCAAGCGACCCCACGAAGATTTTAAATTTTTTTACCTATATATATTAATTTTTAGTTGTATTTGTATAATTATTATATCATTTACAAAATGCTAAATGAAACGTGGACATGTTGAAGGAGTGGAAAGCTCCGCGTTTGACTTGCATGGATGATCCAGGTTCGATCCCCCTAGTGTAGGCTATTTTTTCCTAAACTCAAACCCAATCTTTATTTTTGCCCCTTTGCTGTTTTTTTTGACATAATTCGTTGCTTTAATTTTCTATGTTTTTTTTTGACATAATTTAATCTAAACTAAATATTTCTTTTTATATTTGTGAATTGTGAATATTATAATTTATTCTTATGAATTTGTTATCCCCTAGTGTAGGCTATTTTTTCCTAAACTCAAACCCAATCTTTATTTTTGCCCCTTTGCTGTTTTTTTTGACATAATTCGTTGCTTTAATTTTCTATGTTTTTTTTTGACATAATTTAATCTAAACTAAATATTTCTTTTTATATTTGTGAATTGTGAATATTATAATTTATTCTTATGAATTTGTTATTGTGAATAGCGAATTGAATTTGCTATTTTATTTTGTAAGATTGTGATTTGTAAATATGTTAAAATAATTAGATTATTTTTTAAGTTTATAATGTTTTTAATTATTTAAATTTCAATATAGGATGCAAAGGTGTATTTAAAAGGCACCAATTTTTTCAAAAAGGAACCAAATTTATAATTTTTGTAATATATGTAAACTTTAATGTTATATATTCTGGAGTACTGTTTACTTAATGTTAGAAGCGTGACAATAGGATAGAAATTACTTGGGGTATTTAGAGCATTCACAATGGCAAGGTAATGTCTTGCCTTGCCTAGCCATGTTAGCAAATGCCACACAAATCATGACATTTCATAGTCATTCTACCCCACTTTTCCTTCCATGTGCAAGGCATTACTCCCTCATTTTTTATTTTTTTAATATTTTTAATATTTTTATTTTTTGAAAAAAATATTTTTTTAAAGAAGTAGACATATTTTAATAGTAAAATAAATGTGTAAAATAATTTTTGATAATTAAAAATCATTTAAAAGTACAAACATAGACAAAGGCAATGACTTGCCATTATATGTTACAAAACTCTACTCATTTACTCATTTTTAGAAAAAATATATGAGTGAGATTAATTATCTTTATTTTCTAATAAATATAACTTTAACTTTTTAATTCTTTATCCGTTTCATTTAAAAATCTATAGTAAAATTTATGTTTATGGAGTGTTTCGATTTTCTTAAGTACTTCAAAAATTGTGTACCTCCTTTCGTATTAAACTATTTGTAACACCCCAACCCGCACAACCCGGACCAATCGAGTTAGCGAGCCGGGTTGTCACTAATTTGGTATTCACATGCACAATATTTTAAAAACATTTGGGAAATAAAACAGACATTCATATTTATTGGAAACAATTTATAGTTTAATCGGAGTAAAGAACTGAAACGTTGCGGAAGCCTTTACTCCATCTGCCTGCTAATATAAACCAATTCATACTTACGGGAGTAATGGAATTCAGGCTCTCGTCCAAACCCACACTCATAACTCCAAAGCTCTCGCAATGGAGGGGGTTGAGGCCCCCGCTGGCTCTCGCCAGGGGTCAATGACCACCATGCCCACGTTTTTAACCGTCGAGACCATCAGGTGTACGATGTCTCGTGCATGACTTTAATTTCCAATCTCAATCCTATTTGTGATTTACAATACCTGATTAAACAGAAATTCACCTTGTACTATAAGGTGGCCTACTTCTCAATTTTAGCTCCAGATATATAATATATCATTAAATCATTAGTTTAGAAATTTGGAGTCAAAGATTTTACTTTATGTTTATTACTCCCTCCGTCTCCCTAACATGTTCTCATTTTGACTTTTGGTGGTATTTAAGGAGAGTTGAAAAAAGGTGAAAGTTTACCATAATACCCTTAATGAAATATGGGTGGAGTGTATTAAATGGGGTGGGTTATGTGTAATAAATAAAGTAAGTGGGGTAGTTTTGGTATTTTAATTGTTAAAAAATGAAATGAGAAGATCTATTGTGTGGACAAAGAAAAAGGGCTATTGAGAAGATATATGGGAAGACGGGGGAGTACTTAAGCTTTCAGGCCGTATTGCAAGTTTTAAAACTAAAATCTCAATTCCCAACTAGGCGCTACAGTTGTACGCTACTTCCTCAAAATAATTTACAAGTCGTCCTCCGTTCCATGGGTGAAAATAGTAGCAGCAGATCCCGCAGCGGCTTTATAGCAGTGAGGCACCGGCGGCGGTCACAGCAGCGTACTCCAACTGTGACATCTGGCGGTGACAAAGCCGGTGAAGACGTATTCAAAGTGATCCCAAAACCAGAGAATAGATAGAAAGAGAAGAGAAACTGAGCAGAGAGAGAGAAGAGGAACAGTACGCCGAGCAGGGAAAAGAACGAAACTGAGAACAGAACATGGCAACGAAGAACACATAGTAGGGTATAATTGCAACCCAAATTTCTAAATTTTCAATTCAATACAATGCATTCCACAGTCGATTTTACAAATCCAACTTCAATTGATTTGAAAATATATTAACGAATACTAATCTATGAATTAATTTTAGCGAGATAAATCACTCACCTTGAATCAGAGTAAAATTTCCTGCGAAGGACTCCGGCGATGTTCTTCTCGTTTCCGGCTAAGTCTATAGGTGAATTTCTCTCAGGCAAGCTCCGGCGTCTCTCCCTCTCTTGTGGGAATTGAAGAAGAAAAGTCCCCTAAGTTATACTCCCTCCGTCCCACTATATTCGTCCACTTTTGACTTTTGGAATTGTTCATCTAAGCATTTTGACTCATTAAATTCTCTCAATGTGTAAGCCTAAATATAGTCATGCGTGATCTTGTTTGATTTGTCTTAACATATAGATTATTAATATATAATTTCTATAATTTTTTAATATACAAATTACAAGATAAAATGAATTAAAGAAGTATATTGGATGGTGTGCAAAAATGAAAGTGGACAAATATAGTGGGACGGAGGGAGTATAAAAATACGGAGTCCTTTGGATTCCCAAATCTCAATCCTAACTGACTTACGTTTCCTCTTCCAATTATTATCATCTCCATATATTTCCAGCCATCCCCCTCACAAAAACACTCTTCTTCCTGACCAGATTCACTGCCAAATAATCGATTATCATTCCCCACAACCGATTATCACTTCCATTTGAAACACCCACAAGTAGTAATAATCGATTATCCCTTTTAAGACAATCGACTATCACTCTTTCCCATAAAATCTGCAGCCTTCAATTGTCGATTGTCACTTCTTGTATATCGATTAGTTACCTCTTCTGAAACTTCCGAAGTTCCTCCTTAGAAACTGAATCACTTGACAATTGATTATCCTACTTGGAGAATCGATTATCCACCCTTCCTGCAAAACAAGGAGCTGGTTCCTTAAATCCGAGCTTAATACCGACAAACCCAGAGCTTAGATATATCAGTACGAAATAGGATTGCTTTAGGGGCAGTAGGGATTTTGGTGTTGACGGATATGTTGGACATGAGTTCAAACCCCTTTATTATTTTTCTGGAATATTTTTTGTTTTGATAAATGACAAACAGGATGATGAAATTCAAACGATAATCGAAAATTTATTTTTCGTACCGAGAAAAGAAAAGAGGCGTATCAAGAAAGTTACGGGATAAAATTCAACGCTCACCCCTACGCAGATTTTTGAAGTGAAGTTAAGACTCCGAAGACTTTTTATTTTTATTGAGTCTAGGAATTCTTGTAAGGATGACAATAATTTTTGCACAAACAAATTAATTCCGAGGGATAAAAATTATTATTTCTTGAGTCAGTTGAAAAATTATTTTTTCTCTGTCTAAAAATATTCTTTTGAGTCAGTTTCAAAATAGTGTGTCAAAATTTTTTTTAAATATTATTTAAGGATACACAAATTTTTTGTGGTAAGAAAAATGTACTTTAAAGAATTTTTCTTTTACATCGTTTGACACACAATATTTTTTTGGGACTCAATTTCTACACCAAAATTCAAATATTTAATTCAAATTTTGAATTTGAATTAACTCCTTTCAACCCATTTGATTTGTTTGTTTATGGGAGCCTTATCATATTCAAATTCTTGTCCAAAACAAGTCATTAAGCTCCAAAATAATCACTCAACTCGCACACATGTCTTGGGTCCTCATGTTTGAGGGCTGTTCGTCATTGGATCGATCCATCTGTTAGGATCGATCATCTTGTTTTGCGCTCAGGGACTAGGATCGATCCACCTCTTTGGATCGATCCGCCGAAGGCTTTCAAAAATTCTTTTCCGGATTTTTGGTCCCTTTGGATCGATCCTTTTCCTTGGATCGATCATCCGAAGTTTTGACAGAAATTAATTTTCGATCCATTACTCCAGGTGATCGATCCTCTCCCTTGGATTGATCCCCAACGGTTTTTTTTCTGTCAACTTCAGCCTTCCCTACTTCCAACGGATTTATTTCTTTTTCCCCTATAAAAACACTCATCTTCCCTCATTAAAAACACATCTCTTGCACTCCAATATCTTCATTGATCAATATTCAATTCTTGCTTCCATCTTCCTCATCAAATATATTATTTTGAGAGTTAGAAATATTTTATTGAGTGCTAAAGATTTTGTCATCCATAGAGCTTTAATTCTTCAACACTACTTTGCTCAATTGTGTGAGCCTTCATTCTTGTGTTGTAAACTCAATCTCTTTTGAGTGTTGTTCTTAANTCAAGTCTTGTTGTTGTAAGAAAGTGAGGCTTGTGTGATTCAAGTTCTCAAGTTGTACCGGTTTTTCAAGCACCCGTTGAAGCTTGAAGATTAGTAGGACTTTCGAGAGAGTCTCTCGGAGGACTGGACTAGCCACGAGGTGGTGAACCAGTATAAATCTCGGTGTTCTTCTTTCCCTTACTCCTTTTATTTATTCCTGCGATTTTATTATTTCACACACGCGAAAAACGAACATTCTTGAAAACAACTCTATTCACCCCCCCTCTAGAGTTGCACACTTGTCTAACAATTGGTATCGGAGCAGGAAGTTCTTCGAATACGTTATTTTTCATGAACTAAAAGATCAAATGGCATCAAGGATGTTCAACGCAGGAGTGACCGAGGGACAATCAACCACGAGGCCACCTTTGTTCGATGGAACAAACTACTCGTATTGGAAGGAGAGGATGAGAATCTTTATCCAATCCAACGACTACAAGCTGTGGTTGATTGTGAAGAACGGCTGCGGAGTCCCGTTGAAGAAAGTCGGTGAAGTCAACGTTCCCAAAACCGAAGAGGAGTTCACCGACGAAGATTGCAAAAAGATGGAGCTCAACGCAAAGGAAATAAACATGATTTATTGCGGTGTCAACGCGGATGACTACCGCAAAATCTCGTGGTGTGAAACCGCAAAACAAATGTGGGAAAAATTGGAGGTCACCTATGAAGGAACCGCGCAGGTTCGGGAGGCCAAAATCGACCATCTCACTCACGAGTATGAACTCTTTTCAATGAAGGAAAATGAGAAGATTGAAGAAATGTTTGAGAGATTCTCTAACATCATCAATCCTCTCAATCTTCTCGGGAAAACATACACCGACCGAGAGCTCGTGAGAAAGGTGGTGCGAAGCCTATCCCCCAAATGGCGTTCAAAGGTGGACGCAATCGAAGAAGGACGTGACTTCCAAACAACGACCTATGATGCTCTTCGAGGTACAAGAGAGGAACAAGAGGTCTATTACCTACGAAACCACCCAACTCTCAAAGGTGGTTGAAGAGAGGAACAAGAGGTCTATTGCTCTCCCGCAACAACATCAACCCACAACAACGCTGATGATGAAGATGATGACAGCGACAACACCGACCTCGGACTCTTTGTCCGAAAATTCAAGAAGATGATGCTCAAGAAGGGAGCCAAGAAGAACACTCCACCCAAATGCTATGGGTGTGGTGAAATTGGACACATCAAACCAATGTGTCCGAAGCTCAAGAACGAGAAGGACAAGAGGGCACCGAAGAAGCAACGTGCCTACATCTCTTGGGAGAACAACGGCTCCGGGAGTGAAGACTCAGAAACGGAGGAAGTGGCCAACTTATGTCTCATGGCCATTGAAGATGGTGATACATCAAAAGAGGTAAGTGATCAAGAACCTTCTCCCAATGATCCTTTAACTCTTAATGATGTTGTTTGCATTATAGAAGATTTGGTAGGAATGTTCAAAAAGGCTTCCAAAGAAAACAATGAATAAAGCGAAAAATCCTGATTTTTGAGAATGATATCAAAGAACTCAAAAATATATATGATAAACTTAAACAAGAAATTATCTCTTTTGGAAAAAGGCCACAAGAACCTTCAACTACTTCTTCTTCTACATGCTCTAGTTGTACATCACTAAAAGCTAAGGTTGCTAGTTTAGAGAGCAAATTGGGAAAGTTTAATAATGCTTCAAACACCTTAGATAAAATACTTAAGCAAAAAGTTAGTAATGGTGAAGGACTTGGATATAAGAAAAACCAACCTAGAAAAACAACATTTGTTAAAGCTAGGGGGAATAAAAATGCTAGGATAAATAATCAAACTAGAAGAGCACATCCTAGCAAACCTAGAACTCATTACACTCAACCATATAGGATGAATAATCC